CACACACACACACACACACACACACACACACACACACACACACACACGCCAGATGTGGCTGTGCACGGCCGTGGCCCCGTGCTGTGGAGGCAGAGGCAGGCCCGGCCCTGGGCTCGCCAGAGAGGTCGCCCAGCCCACCCGGCAAGTTCCAGGCCCGCGAGACACCCTCTCTGAAACCACTACAACCAGCAAGGTGGGAGGCGTCCCTGTGGACGCCGCGTACATTCGCACACATGCGCGCGCGCGCACACACAGGGAGCAGGTGTGCCCGCGCGCGCGCGCACAGTGTGCCCGATAGACTTGGTCTTTTCCCGGAGAACGGCAGGGGTCACATCTCTTTTCTGGTACCTCCATAATCCAGAGACCAGCCCGACAGGATGGAGCATCCGGGACACATTCAGGGAAGCTGAGAGTCGGGGGGGGGGGGTTAGGGGAGCTTGAGGTTTGGGCGCAGGTCGGCGTTCCACCAGGAGCGTCAGTAGGGCTGCCCTGGAGATGCCTGAGTGCAGGAGGAGAGGGCTTCCTGGCTCCCACAGCAGCCTTCCAGCCTGAGGAAAGGAACCCTGAGAAGCCGCCCTGGAGGGACCGGGTCTCCCCGTCCTCCCCTGCCGCCCTGGAGGGACCGGGTCCCCGCCGCCCCTGCCGCCCTGGAGGGATCGGGTCCCCGCCGCCCCTGCCGCCCTGGAGGGACCGGGTCCCCGCCGTCCCCGCCGTCCTGGAGGGATCGGGTCCCCGCCGCCCCTGCCGCCCTGGAGGGATCGGTCCCCGCCGCCCCTGCTCTCTGTCTTTCACAGTCTTGCTTTGACACGAGGCAGCTGTGTGCACGCTCCTTCCCTCCCCACAGCCTGCCTCTGCGCCTGTGTCCTCCCGAGTGACTCGACAGGGCAGACCACGGGCGTGTGCACTGTCTCCTAGGTGACCTTCTTTTCAGAGACGAAGGTTGTCCAGAAGTGCTCTGTTGGAAGAAGGAAAGTCATTCCTGGCCCTCAGGGAACCACCCCCAGGCCTGTGCTCAAAGCCTAGGCCACGAGGAGGTTTACCTAGTAACTGATGACGCTAGGCTGAGACACCCAGTGATTGGTCTGACACGCCTACCCAGCTACTCTAACCACTTTCCCTTTGGGACCCAGGATTTGGTTGAGTTTGCGGGTGTAAGTTTAGGCTCTAAGGAGGGGCCGAGGGACTTGGGGCCAGGTCTGCAGCAAGGAGCAAGGGACCTGAGCAACAGGCACCGCATTCACCTCCGTGTGTGAAGACCGTTTGTCCAGGCTGGGGCAGGAAAAGCCCAGAGGCCCCTGCCAGAGCTGCCCCGGGGGCCAGACCTTCCTGCACCTTCCCAGAGTGGAACATGGCCGCTCTGCTGCTGCTCAGCCTCAGCCTGGGCTGTGTGGGCGCAGGTAAGGCCCTCCTGGACCCCCTCCCTTGCTGCTGTTTGGGGAAAACACCTTCATTTTCGCTAGCAGGTGTGAGTGCCCCAGGCCAGCCAGTCCCGCTGCTATGGCTCTCCCAGCACTGAGGGCTGCGTTTGACAGCAGTTTTAAGAACCAGTCAGTTTCGCAGATTGTGGAATGGATGCCCCAGCAGGGACGTAGGTTAGGACGGAACTGCTGCGTGCTGGTGCCTAGCATGGCACCTGGCATGGAGAGAGAGAGCGAGCTCTGTGCACTTGTGTGGAGTCGAAAGCGAGAACACTTCCAGCGCAGAGCCAGGCTGACTGCCTCTCTTGACTCCGTTTCCTTTTCTCTCCTTTTCCTCCCCATCCATCTTGTCTGTCTGTCTGTCTCTCACTGGAGACAGGCACACTGCATAGCCAGACTAGCCCTAACCTCATGGCAATCCCCCTGCCTCAGTGCTGGGATTACAAGTGTGCCCACCTCGCTTACTTCACCCTTCACCTCCCTGCCAGCAACGTGCTGCCCTGAAGGTCTGTTTTGGGGTAGACAGCCATGCTAACCGCACAGGAATCTTGGGGTGCCCTTCTTGTCACTTAGCCTGGCACACAGAGGAGATGGCGCTGATCACTTTTAACTTTGTGCACACGCGTCTCCAGCTCATCCCCAACCTGATGCCTCTGACAGATGTGGGAGTTAGTTACGTCAGAGCGTGTTATGTCGGTAGAAGAGTGGGGTTAACTTTAAAGTGTCTTTTCTGGTTTTCATTTGGTTTGCTGTTGTGTCAGGAAAGCCTGGGAAACTGAGTCATTTAAATATATAGCCTTAACACTTAAGGCCGGTGCAGAGCAAAAACAATGGCCGGGTTTAGTTTCGGGGCCTGGAGAGGTGGCTCAGTGATTAAGAGAACTGACTGCTCTTTCAGAGGACCCAGGTTCAATTCCCAGCACCCACATCAAGTATGGATAGCAAATCCCAGAATTGCCCACAACTTCCATCCAGCTTGGCTGAGTGGCAGCCCAGTGGCTTGGGAAACAGTGGGCATACAGTCTATGCAAATAGACTACTATTGCTCTGTCTCTCTCTCTCTCTCTCTCTCTCTCTGTGTGTGTGTGTGTGTGTGCATGCGTGTGCCTGCTTCTCTGCACGGGCACCGAATTTGTGCAGTTCCTGAGGAGTCCAGAGGGCATCAGAGTCCCTTGAGCTGGGCTTGCCCTGAGCCACTGCCTGTAGGTGCTCCCATGGGCACCCTGGTTTTCCGCAAGGGCAGCACCTGCTCTTCAGCAGCCAGCCACATCCCCACCCCCACGAGGAATGTTTAAAGAACAGGGACAGAGGGGTTCCCAGGGTGAAGTCCAGAGAGCCCAGGCACAGCAGATGCAGCAGCTTCGGCTTCCTGGGAGGCGGGGCGAGCTCCTCACCACAGGACTGTGTGCCCCTGCCAGGAAGGTCTCAGAACCCTGCAGCCTGGCAGTTTTGTTTGGTTTGGTTTGGTTTCGAGACAGGATTTCTCTGTGTAGCCCTGGCTGCCCTGGACTCATTTTGTAGATCAGGCTGGCCTCGAACTCGCAGAGATCCGCCTGCCTCTGCCTCCTGGGTGCTGGGCATTGAGGTGTTTGCAGCTGCATCTGTCCCCACAGCCTGAGCTTTTTAGGCTTCATCAAAGAGACAGGGTTTAGTTTTAACCAGGCTCCAGCCCCTCCCTGCTGCTCTGGAAGGATGGAGGTAAAAGTCTCCGGCTCCACCTTATGAGATGTAAGTGCAATCCTGGTTTCCACTGACAGGCCCCACCCCAGGGCTCCTCCAGGACTGACCTCATTAGAGCAAAAGACCCTTCGGTCGCCCAGTCCCAAGGGCTTCAGGGCTCCGCGTGAGGAACCCAGTTAACACTCAGCTGTGAGGGCAGAAGTTGCATCCATTCCTAAGGCGTCCTAAGGTTTTAGTAACGCCGGGCCGGGATCTGCAGGCGGTTGTGCGGTGCCGACGCTGACCCGTCTTCCCTCCTCCGGCCCCTCCAGGTGGCTTTGTGGCTCACGTGGAAAGCACCTGCCTGCTGGACGATGACGGGGTTCCGAAGGACTTCACCTACTGCATCTCCTTCAACAAGGACCTGCTGGCCTGCTGGGACCCGGAGGAAGGACATATAGCCCCCTGCGAATTCGGGATGCTGTCTAACTTGGCCAAATCCATTTCAGGGTACCTCAACAAAGACGACAGCCTGCTCCAGCGCTTGCGCAACGGCCTCCAGGACTGTGGCACACACACCCAGCCCTTCTGGGATGCGCTGATCCACAGAACACGTGAGCAGAGGGTGGGGCCGGGGCGGTGGTGGAGTGCAGGGGCCAGTCAGGGAACACGGCCAGGATGGCAGAGGACAAGGGGATTCTTGAGAAGCAAAGGGTTGGTACCTGGGCAGGGAGAAACGGTGTGGACCTGGAATGTAGGAAGAGGGAGTCTGGGCATGGAGGGGGGAAATAGTGTGGTTCCAAGATGGAATGGAAGATGGACGGTGTGAAGAGAAGGTACTGACAGGAGGGCCAGAAGCAGGTGCCAGAGCATATTAGGGTCAGATCCAAGGCAGAGAACCCCCATGACTTCCCCCAAAGTCCTCCCGTCTCTTGTTTTTAGTTAATTAAGGATTTTTTTTCTTCAGTCCTGGGGATTGAACCTAGGGGCTTGCACATGCCCAACAAGCTCTGTACCCTTCTGATTGCTCTGAGGCAGGGTCTCCCCAAGTTGTTTGAGCTGGCCTTGAACCTGTAACTCTCCTGTTGCAGCATCCCGGCTAGCTGGGACTGCAGCCTGGGTCCACAGCCAGGCTCCTTCCTGATTCTTTAGCTGAGGTTTTGTTGCTCCATTTCTGGAATGCGTGCAGGCGTGGGAGGGGAGACTGGCAGCATTCCAGGGATTCCCGTGCTGGCTTTCTTCCTCCCAGAATCCTTTGCAGTGAGAAGCTCATGGGAATGGCTTCAAGTTTGTGAAGTTGTCTAAGGTACAAACTCTGGAGCGCACCCTAGGTTGGAGTGGTGTGTCATAAGACGCGGCCTCTGAGCTGCATCTCGGCCTCACCTGGCTGGGGGTCACTGAAGATTTTCACTTAAGATATTGCTCAAGAAGTGCTGTGCTAGAGGCGAGCAGGGGAATTCTTTGGGAGAGTAAACTGGTAGAAGATGGCGGTCTTAATAATCTCATTGCCAGGCATGGTGCTACAGGCGGGTGATCTAGGAGGCAGGAGAGCAGGAGTTAGGATCATCCCAAGCCCTCTGGGGAGAGTGAGGCCAGCCCGGGCTATATAAGACCCCGTCTCAGAAAACACACAAGGGGGTTGGGGACTTAGTTGAGCGGTAGAGTGCTTGCCTAGCAAGTGCAAGGCCCTGGGTTCGGTCCTCAGCTGTGGAAAAACAAACAAACAAACAAACAAACAAAAGACAGCCTGAGGCTTTCCCAGAAAACACACAAGGCTTGGCTGTGCACGGCAAACACAGATGCCGTGCAGACAGCTCACGGCCCAGACCCGGCGTTTACCAACTGTGATCAAACTTGACTTTGGAGGGAAAAAGAAAGGCAGTGAGAGAGTAGGAGGAAGCCCAGCGAGGCGGGGTGCGTGCTATTTCCCCTTTCAGTTGGTGGCCGGAGAAATCCTTGAAAGGACGGAAGGCGCCTCCCTTTCCAACCCGAGCTGTTTCTCCCATGCAGGACCGCCATCTGTCCAAGTAGCCCCAGCCACTCCCTTTAACACAAGGGAGCCTGTGATGCTGGCCTGCTACGTCTGGGGCTTCTATCCGGCGGACGTGACCATCCTCTGGATGAAGAATGGGCAGCTAGTCTCTCCTCACGGCGGCAGCAAGACGGCTCAGCCCAACGGAGACTGGACATACCAGGCCGTCTCCTACCTAGCCCTCACCCCCTCCTATGGAGATGTCTACACCTGTGTGGTGCAGCATGCCGGGACCCCTGAGCCCGTCCGTGAGGACTGGAGTAAGCGGGAACTGGGAGTGAGCCGTGGACAGACGCCTGGCTTGAGGGAGGGGGGGGGATGCTGGGACCGAAGTGAGGGTTTGCAAACAGAGTTAGGGTCATGCCGCTGCTGGGCGGATGCGGTGTGGATGCCTTTCATGTGTTTGAGGGAGCGTAGACTTGAAAGCATCTTCAGAACAAACCCCCAGAACTCACTGTGATAGTTTTCCCAATAGTCAGCCATCTTGTCAGGACAGGACTGGGAAAGAAACAATAGTGAAGACTGAAGAAGAACCGGGATTTCCTCTCGGGATAGGGCTGTGCTGAATTTGGGCAGCTTTTTTTGAGCAGAAGGGGAGAGTCCAGCTGAGGCTGGCAGACACTTCTGTGGATATGTGAAGAGGCTAATTGATAAAGAACTCACTGACACTGTTTGAACCCTAGGACCAGGGGGAGTTAAAGGTAATGAGAGAGGGTACATACCAACTTGGAGATTACTGGAAAAGAAGAGAGGGAGAAAGAAGGGGGGAAGGGCAGTTTGGAAAGGCCAGGGAGCAGGGTCCTAGCTGGCTGCCCAGGCCAGGCCTTCCTTCCCCTGTGGGGAGCGTTGTATCTGCGGTTTGTTCTAGTGGGTCCCTAGGATGGGTTGGTACCCTGGTTAGGGTGACTATTGCTATGACGAAACACCATGACCAAAAGCAAGTTGGGGAGGAAAGGGTTTATTGGCTTCCACCAGCACATCATGGTGTATCACTGAAGGATGTCAGGGCAGGAACTCAAGCAAGGGCAGGCACCTGACAGCAGGAGCAGGAGCCGCAGAGGAATGCTGCTTACTGGCCTGCTCCGCCTGCTTTCTTATAGAGCCACCCGCCTAGGGATGGCCCCACCCACAGTGGGCTGGACCCTCTCCCATCCATCACTAATTAAGAAAATGCCCTACACTGTGGGCTTGTCACAGCCTGGTCTTACAGAAGCATTTTCTCAGCTGAGGTCCCCATCTCTGAAATGATTCTAGTGGTGTCAAATTGGCGCAGAACTAGCCAGCATAGATGAGAAACAAGAGAGAGGGAAACACATACACCCTTGAGCTTTCCGGACCAGGTCTCCTTGGTAGGGCACACAGGAGTTCCTTTGGCGAGAGTGCTCTCCTAGTTTTGGGATAGGATCCAGGACAGGAGGGCAGGGTGGGAGGGATTGGAGAGATGGTTCAGAGGTTAAGAGCACTGGCTGTTCTTTGAAGGGTCCTGAGTTCAATTCTCAGCAACCACATGGTGGCTCACAGCCATTTATAGTGAGATCTGGTGCTCTCTTCTCTTCCGGGGTGTGGGCACACATGCAGGCAGAATGCTGAATAAATAATAATAATAATAATAATAATAATAATAATAATAATAAAGAATTCAGTTGGGAATAGCTCTGGCAAGTGGGATGGCAAAGGGCTGCAGGGTGGGATGACGGGAGACTCTGGAGAGAGAAGTGGGCAGTGTGGATGCGGGGCTCACTCCATGGAACTTTGGGGGCCCAGAAAGAGAGGGGACATTTTAATAGGAAGCTTCTGGGAGGGAGGGTGGGAGCCAGCATGGGTTCTGAGGAACCCTGGGTGGTTGGGGAGGTGGCCCAGGGAGTGGAGGGCCCCACTAGGCTGGGGCTGGGGCGGGGGCGGGGTGGGGGAGGGGTGCAGAAGCAGGGAGGGAACTGTGGGAAAAGTCTCCTCAGGGCCGTGCTGGAAGAGGACGGTGTGTGCAGACCCTTCCAGCGGCAGGTGCCCTGAGGCTGAGCCGGAGACATTAGTTCTGAGAACTTCCCTTACTCCGCAGCCGTCGGCCTGTCCCCCGTCCAGACGGTGAAGGTCTCTGTGTCTGCAGCCACCCTCGGCCTGGGCTTCATCGTCTTCTGTCTTGGTTTGTTCAGCTGGCGGAAGTCTCGCTCCTCCAGTGAGTGATCCCTCCCCAGTCCTCCTCCTCCCTCTCTCTCTCACTTTCTGTCTGTGATTCTCTTACTAGCACTTCTGGGGTAAGGAACTGAAAAGTGCTGGGTCCCCACATCCACAGGGACTGGTATAATCAAGCATCTTCCTCTTCTAGGCTACATTCCTCTCCCAGGATCCACGTACCCAGAAGGTAATATTCCTGTTGGTTTTGTGCTCACTGGCACACAACAGCTTTTAACCAAGAGGGTAATTTAAGGATGCCATCATCCAGGCTGTGATGGTTTGGGAGAGGGAAGAAGGGAGTCCAAACTCCCAGAGTTTAGGTGGGGGTGGGCAGGAGGTAGTTCCTTTGCGTAGTCATTGCTCGCTGAGCCTTTGCATCACGTGTGTGAGGGCTCAGGCACCGGGCGGTCATAGACGCAAATGGCTGGCGGGTGTGCTGGATTGGTCACCTCTCACCGTCTGGTTCCTGTCGCTCCTGCAGGCGGCACTAGAGGCAGAACTGCACGCTGAGGAGGAGATTCTTGAGGAAGCCTCCGTACCCCCAACGTCTTCAGGACTCCCCACCTTCTGGCGTCGTAGTTCCCTCTGTGCTCCTCTCCCCATGTACATGTTAGCAGCTCTGGGTGGGTAGGGGGTCTCCATAGTGGAGTCATGGTCTCAGGCTGTTTTCCCAAGGTGAACTGGTCTGAGGAGGGGACCCTGATGAAGGCTGCACCTTGTCACAGAGGGCCAGTATGTCATCGTGATCACACCTAAGAAATAAACTGGAGGAATTACTGGCTTCCCCCAAGTTTGTCCTGGGGCCTCGGTTTCCCATTTGCAGGAAACAGAACTGGAGGCAACTTTGAAATTATAATTCATAAGAAGAAATTGAGGTGTAGTGAGATAGAGCCCCCGTGCTCCGAAGAGGCCTTTGGACACTGCATTTTATGTGTGTGTGTGTGTGTGTGTGTGCTTGTGTATGTGTGTGTGTGTGTGTCTGTGTGTATATCTCTGTGTGTATATGTGTGTGTTCTT